CGTGACAAGGAAGTGCCTCCTTATTACACACAAAGTAATGATTCCTCCACCTGATAGCAGGGACCCACCTGACGGGCTACCGTATTTTGCAAAAAAAAAAACTTCCCCTCTGACCGTTGGGACCCACCAGCTACATCTTCGCACTCAAGGAAGTGCGTCCTTATTACGGGTAAAAACATGATTCACCCCCTGACAGCTTGGACCCAGCAGCTATATCTTCGCCCGCAAGGAAGTGCGTCCTTATCCTCCCTGACAGCTGGGACCCACACGGTCGAAACGTACGTAGCGTTGTCTGTCTTATCGCGAACGTGTACGTACATACTGGTCGATCGGTCGCTCTGCAACGATGAACCGTGGCCGAGTAAGTAGCAGCACATGTCATTGTAGAGCCCCCCACGTAGTCGTTCAGGTTGTCCCGTCTAAACCCTGTAAACGTACATACAGCCACACGCCAAAAGATACAGCCACATACGTACATATGAGCAGGTTCTCGAAACGCATACTTGCGCATATGGACGGCTAGGGCTCGTGTACATTGTGAGGCAACGGACGGCAGCGACATTGTCATGTTCATCTTTAGCTAACTGGCTTGGTCGGAACGGAGGAAATAGTGTCGTGTTCGCCGGGAGCCAAGTGACTGGGTCGGTACGCGTCCTATTCATCGGGAGGCAATAGTCTGGGTCGGAATGTGTCGTGTGTTCATTGGGAGCCAACCGGCTTGGACGAAACAGCCAAGACGAGGCCTGGCATACAGTAGAATGGAGGAAACGGTCTTCTGTTCGACCGCCTACGGTTGAAACGGGATCCTATTCACCGGGAGGGTCTGGCGCACCGCAAAACGGAGGAAACAAACTTCTCTTCGACCTCCTACGGTCGAAATGAGGGTCCTGTTCACTGGGAGGGGTGTGGTGTACCACAAAACGGGACTCACGGGCTACTGTTCATCCACCGTCGACCTCCTCCTGCCTCCACCCACTACTGTTCATCCACCCTCAACTTCCTCCAACCTCCACCTGCTATTGTTCATCCACCGTCGACTTCCTCCAGCCTACACCAGCTACTGTGCATCCAGCCCTCCACTGGGTCATGTTCATCCAGCCTCCTCCGGCTACTGTTCAACCAGCCCTCCACGGGGTCCTGTTCAACCAGCCCTTCACGTACGGGGTCCCTCCACCAGCTATTGTTCATCCACCCCCACATCCTAGAACAGGGTCATGTTCATCCAGCGGCAATGACCTCTACTACCATGGGATCATATTCATCCAACCCCCACCGAGAACTGTTCATCAAGAGGCAGCTTTGACCGGCTTCAGTTAGCAGCAATAGCGAACGAATCACTTGGGTTCAGTTAACAGAAAGGGATTGATCTGGGTTCAGTAACGTAGCTAGTGCAATGGCTCGGGTTCAGTTAGAGCCAACACCTCGCTCGGGTTCAGTTAGAGCGCAAAGCCTCACACACACACACATACACGTACGTGTACGAGAGAAACGCACAACCTCCGTTCATCGCTCGACCCCGACCACCCACCAAAACCGGGAAGTCCTCGAAATTTTCCTCGCCCTCGCTTCTACCATGATTTTTTCCGTCATGGACGGCCCAAAGAATGTCATGCAGGTGCGTCTCCAGCCCGCCCAGGACGAAAAGCCCATTTTCTGTCATGGTTTTTTGTCATAGAAGTAGGAGCCCACCACATCTATGATGATACCGGGTTTTGTCACAATTATTGTCATAGAAGTGTCATAAGCATGACAGAAAAAAATTGTTTGGCCCAAAATGTCATGGATGTTTCTTTTTTCTGTAGTGTAGTGCTGATCATAACACTTCTATCAAGATGCTTAAAGAAGTTATTTTTCCAAGGTTTGGAGTCCCTAGATATTTAATGACTGGTGGTGGTTCACATTTTATTCATGGTGCTTTTCATAAAATGCTTGCTAAGTATGATGTTAATCATAGAATTCCATCTCCATCTCATCCTCAGTCTAGTGGTCAAGTAGAATTGAGTAATAGAGAGATTAAATTGATTTTATAAAAAACTGTTAATAGATCTAGAAAGAAGTGGTCCAAGAAACTTGATGATGCATTATGGGCTCATCCAACCACAGGCCAATCAAGGAGGAACATGTCATGGGCCAATGAGTGAAATGATGAAAATACCCTCATGGGGGCACTGGAATATCGGCGATGGCACGAGATCTTTATAGTGGGGTGAAACTATTCATTGCTACAGAAGCTTCTGTTCAATCCGACTGCCGAGGTATTTCCTGAGGGAGATCGAACGGTCCAGATCGCATCAAGCAAATCGATCCAACGGACGGGAAGCCTAAATCACCAAGGAGGCTGGGTTCCTCCTGCCATTCTTATTTCTCGATGCATTTTCTTGGTGTTGTGTAACCTTTCTACTGTCAGGGGTGCATCAGTACCGCACAAAGTCTTCATTTGCCGTCACGATTTATTAATCTGTTGGTTTTTGATAAGAGCATTAAAGCCGAACTTTGCAAATCTAGCCATTAAATGCCCGCAGACGCGCCTCCGCGGGACTGACCAGGCACGCGAATTAGCCACTTTGCATCTGTCTCTCTCATATTTCATTCCCTAATCCATACAAAGCATGCAAAAGGAATCCTATGTACTATCCTATCTACTCTTAGTCGTCGGAGACGTCGACGACGACGGTGTCGGGCGCCGGCTGGACGGGCGGGTAGGAGGGCTTCGGCTCGTCCTCCTCCTGCTCGACCTCATCCATGTAGGCAAACATCTCCGCCTCCTCTGCGGCCTCTTGCGCTTCCATCTCTTGTCGGTGATGGCGCCTTGCCTCCGTAGCCGACTTCGACCAGAGGGAATCGAGGATGGCCTGCTGCTCCGCCTGCAGATCCCCGTCGCCAGCGTCCCCCACATCCTCCTCCTGCTCGACCTCATCTATACCTGGCCAAACCTCGGGTCGGGCCGGGCTTTGGGCCGGGCCTAGCCAAGCCCGAGGCAAAAAACCTAGGCCCGGGCCAGGCCATCGAGCCTGGTTTTTAGGCCCGAGCCCGGCCCGAACACGTAAAAGCCCGACGGGCCTTGGGCCACGGGCCGGGCCCCTTCAGGAAATTGCAAAATCGACGGGCCCGGGCCCGACCATCGGGCTCAAAATCTAGGCCCAAGCCCGGCCCGGGAGCAGCCTCGGGCCGGGCCGGGTCGGGCCGGGCCGGGCCGGCCAGCCGGCTTCCCATGGCCAGGACTAACCTCATCCATGTAGGGCAATCATCTCCGCCTCCTCCGCAACCTCTTGTGCCTCCATCTCTTGTCGGCGATGGCGTCTTTCCTCCGCAGTCGACTCCGATCGGAGGGAATCGAGGATGGCCTCCTGCTCCGCCTGCAAATCCCCGTCGCCAGCGTCCCCCACATCCTCTTCCTCCTCAAAGTCCTCCTCCTCGTCCTTCTCCACCACCACCTCCTCCTCCTCCTCCTCCAACTCCTCCCTCGGATCCTTTGTATCCGGAGGTAGCCCTGCGGCGATACGAGCTTCGTGCCTAGCCTGGATCTGCTCAAGGAGCTCGAGCCGACGCTCCGGCGTCAGAAAGGGCTCGCTCTTCACCCGACGGCGTGGGGGCATGGCTAGGCGGACGCGTGGAGTGGAAAGTGGCGGCGGACAGGAGGAGGAAAATGTGGATGGATGGTAGGGTTTCGATGCCGCCAGTCGACTTAAATAGCTGGGCAATGCACTACGCGGCCCGCCGGAGCTGCGCCACGCGACTCCACCGGTCCGACGGAGGAGACGAGTTTCAGACGGCCGGGTTTGAGGGCGTCTTCGGCTGAGACCTCTTCCTCAGTCCGTTGTGACGGGCGTGTCCAGGCGCCCCATATCCGCGCCATATTTGGGGGTGCCGGTCAGCCCGAGCATTTGAGGGCCGTTTGAGAGGTCTGTCTCGATAAAAAAAATCGTGACCGGCTAGTGGAACCTGATGCTATGATCGGGTTTCAGAGGTCCGGGCGTTAGATGCTATGATCCGTTGGAGCTTTAGTGGAACCTGATGTTTATAAACACAATCATCAGTAGACAATTGATAACCCAGCGCAGGCCACCACATGTTGAGCCCCTCCCAATGCGCGTGCTGCCCGCAAGCGACGGGACGTGTGCTGATCCGGCGGCCCCCGCGCCGACCTGACGCCTTCTTTATGATCTCTCGCCGCCCGAGGTCTGGTTGGCTGTGCGCGAGCGTGTACGACTGGTGGTGGCTCCGTTGCCCTTTGTGCCCAACAAAGGTGTTCTGGAGGACGCGCAAAAAAAGTGTTCTCATCACGGGTGGGGTGAGGTGAGCTGATGACTCGGTTTCCGGTGAACCATCTCCACTTTTGTGCCCAACAAAAGCATCCTCATTTTGGCGGGTGGGGTGAGGTGAGCCGACGGCTCGGTTTCATCAGGTGAGCAATCTCCACCGAGCGTTGTTTTGCTTGGTGCCAACTCCACATGCCTCTTCGCTGTCATTTTAACTGCTCGCTTAGCCATTGTCTTCCACAAAACCTTAGATTCAGCACAACACGTCAAAAATACTTGAGGCTTGATCTGGTTCTTAAGCACCAAAAAAACAGTTACTCTATATCGGCCGTCCTGATAACGAGTTGCAAGAAGAATCTGCCGCTTGACCTCACTTCCGTTTCCTAGATCTCTCGCAGTAGATCCAAAGATATAAAACCCTCCGGAGAAGATTTCGATGCATCACAAAGTAGTGCTCCCACCTGACCTTGCCGACCTGGTCGTGGTCGGTGCTCCATCTCGTCGCCACGTGTACTGTCCCCATCAAACGCGTAGACAAAAAAAAGCCCCTCCTTCATTGGCGCCGCGCCATGTGTCCTCCACTCCGCCCGGCCACGGTATTGTTATAAATCCATAGCTTTCCCCTTCCCGGAACAACAACAACATCCAAATCCAAATCCAAGAATACGCACTGTTCTCTCCATCAGTCTCCGCCTCCACTGATTCGTCCAACCAAGAAGAAGAAGAGCTACAGAAGAGAAGATGAGCAAGCTCTGGACGATCCTCACCCACCTCCACACCCTCGCAGGGTATGTGCAGATTGAATTTGGTTTCCCTTCGGTTCTTGTTTGTGCAGTTCTTGCCGAGCTCAACTGACGCGTGCGGCCATTTGGTGTTGTTCTCTGTTGCTGCTGCAGGCCTGGCGTGATGCTCCTGTACCCCCTGTATGCGTCGGTGCAGGCGATGGAGAGCCCGTCGAAGCTGGACGACGAGCAGTGGCTGGCCTACTGGATCCTCTACTCCTTCGTCACGCTCGTCGAGATGGTCCTCGAGTCCCTCATCTACTGGTAATTAAACGACAACCAAATCAAGCAAGCTCATGGCTGCTTTTCTTATTTGATTTCTGTGGTGGTTTATTCTTCTTCTTGTTCTCAGGATACCGATCTGGTACGAGCTGAAGCTGCTGTTCCTGGCGTGGCTGGCGCTGCCCAACTTCAGGGGAGCGGCCTTCATCTACGACAGGTTCGTCAGGGAGCAGCTCAGGAAGCACGGCCTCACCAACCACCCCGGCAGCGGCATCGGCAGCAAGAAGGAGAACGGCTGCAAGGTCGACAAGTCGTCCTCGCCGTCGACGTCTCCCAAGGAGAAGGAGAGCGCCAAGAGCAGGTTCCTCTCCTTCGTCACTCCCAAGAAAGACCACTGAGTGAGATTGGAGCAGCAACCAGAGATCCCAGCAGCTAGCTTCTTGGCTTCTGTTTTTTTTTTTTTTTTGGTTTCTTTGAGATTTTAGCTTGTGGTGCTGGAGTATTACATATCTTGTCCAAAAAATTTGTACTATGACTCCATATATGAGGCCCTCGGTTGCAGGCTAGCTAGATGGTGGCTTGTGGCGTTGTAGTATTACATATATCTGTCCAAAAAAATGTACTACTGAGATTGGAGCAGTAACCAGAGATTTCATCTCATCTATCCCTTCGGCTAAGCTAGCTTGTGGTGTTCATTTTTGAGTTTTAGCTAGCTGATTTGACGTGAAGCTTAAAAATTGAAATGGACCAAGTTGAATTTCTCATAAGATAGCAGATGTAAGGCCAGGCAGGCAAACTGTCCGGTGCTACCTCTATAAACTACTCCCTCCGTCCCCATAAACTGGGTGGTGAGGCCAGTCTCAGGAAGATCCGGGCCCCTACTTAGTTTGCACCCTTTCCCTTTACATGTATCCCTGCTTCTGCTTTGTCCTCTGATGGTCCGGTGATGGCCAGCTGCACACGCTGTGCAGCGCTTACATCACCTTCATGTAAATGACTACGGTCATCCGGACATTTTTTTGCCTGTTTTAAATGCATAAGGTAGATAGAATGCATAAGGTAGATTTTTTTTAGAAAAGGACGATGACCCCCGGCCTCTGCATCTGGGCGATGCATACGGCCACTTTATTAAGTATTCTCACAAGACCTTACAAAGTCATATATCACCTATCCAATCGATGAAGAGGCGCTGATAGTCTGGGTCTAATACGAAAAAGACATCGCAGCTAAACCTAAACATCTAAGACCTGAGATACCAACCAGGACGCTTGCCGGGTATGGGGCACCTACCAGTCTGGCGCACTCCTCAACCAGGACGCCTGCCGGGTATGATGCCGCCGCAGCCACCTGCCACCAAACCATCTTCAGAGCTATACTGTTGCATCTACCTTGCACGGTCTAACTACCGTCGACGCCACCACGACACCAGACAGCTCCACCGCTCTGCGCTCGTCCATCCCTACGCGGACACTCTAAAAGATCTGTCGCACGTAGCACCTGCCGACTAGGCATGACTTAGCGTAGCACCTGTCGGCCATGCATGACTTGACATCTCTTACCAGACGCATCTGGCGCGACTAGAACACCGCTCCTCCTGCCAACCTCCACACCATTGCCGCTGCTGGAGCTGACACACGAAGCCCTTCACCCATAGCAACTCCCCTGAACGCCCAAGTCTCCTAAGACGGCGCCTCCATGGAGGTTACGACGCAAAGGGCGCCGCTGCCGTCCAATCCAAGACGGATTTTGGACTTTCGTCCGGGAAGGGGATGGAGGTGGATAGGAGGGACCTCGACTTCGCCTTCAAGATGGGTAACAACGTCAAAGCTGTCGCCGATGCCGGGCTGAGCTAGCCGACCAAAGTTTCCTCCGGTCCTCTTTCTGTACCACCAATCTCCATCTGCTTCGGATCTGGCAGCAGCCAAGACCCAAAAACTCCAGAGAGGGAAGTACCATAAGGCTCAACACCTCCGGCCTATATGCATCCAGGCGCCGGATCAAAGAAGACCCGACCTGGTCAGCGACGAAAGCCACCATCCTGCGCTGGCCGATGGCGATCAGGCGCCGGATCCAGAAGGATCTGACCCAAGACCGACGGCGCACGCAACCACCAGATCCAGCGGCCGCACCACGCCGCGAGCACGAACCCCAACCGCCAGCACGCTGCGCACGTCGCGGCCAGGATCCATCTGCAGCGCCGCCGGACCCCGCAAAAGTACGACGCCTCCTCTCGAACGGCCATCCCACGCCAGCCTATTCGCGCGAAGGGGAAGGCAGCCCCGCCGCCGCCCCTGCCGGCCAGGCTTTGACCGGCGGCGCTGCTGGCGGCAGCGAGGATGAAGGAGATGCGGGGGAGTACGGGCATCGGCGGCTAGGGTTTCCCCCTGGTCGCCCACAGGGGCGACCCGAGGGGTACGAGCGAGTGGATCTGCTCTGCATAAGGTAGATAACGATCTACCTTTTCTTTCAAAAAAAGTCCCTTACACCTCCTGTTATTTACCTTGCCGCAAGCCGACGCCACCTCTTTCCTCGGCCCCCTGATACGTCTCCAACGTATCTATAATTTACGAAGCATTCATGCTATTTTATTATCTGTTTTGAATGATTATGGGCTTTATTATACACTTTTATATTATTTTTGGGACTAACCTATTAACCGGAGGCCCAACCCATATTTTTGTTTTATTGCCTGTTTCAGTATTTCGAAGAAAAGGAATATCAAACGGAATCCAAACAGAATGAAACCTTCAGCAACGTGTTTTTCTGGAAGATTGTCATCCTGGAGACTTGGAGTTCACGTCAGAAGATACTCGAGGAGCCCAGGAGATAGCCCCCCCTACTGGGCGCCCCGCCTGTCTCGTGGACCCCTCGAGCACCCCCCGACCGACTTCTTTCGCCTATATAAGCCTACGTACCCTAAAACCATCGAATATCAAGATAGACCGGGAGTTCCGCCGCCGCAAGCCTCTGTAGCCACCAAAAACCTCTCGGGAGCCCGTTCCGGCACCCTGCCGGAGGGGGAACCCATCACCGGTGGCCATCTTCATCATCCCGGCGCTATCCATGATGAGGAGGGAGTAGTTTACCCTCGGGGCTGAGTGTATGTACCAGTAGCTATGTGTTTGATCTATCTCTCTCGTGTTCCCTCTATGGCACGATCTTGATGTATCCCGAGCTTTGCTATTATAGTTGGATCTTATGATGTTTCTTCCCCTCTACTCTCTTGTGATGAATTGAGTTTCCCCTTTGAAGTTATCTTATCGGATTGAGTCTTTTATGAGAATACTTGATGTATGTCTTGCCGTGCTTATCTGTGGTGACAATGGGATATCATGTGCCACTTGATGTATGTTTTGGTGACCAACTTGCGGGTTCCACCCATGAACCTATGCATAGGGGTTGGCACACGTTCTTGACTCTCTGGTAGAAACTTTGGGGCACTCTTTGAAGTACTTTGTGTTGGTTGGATGAATCTGAGATTGTGTGATGCATATCGTATAATCATGCCCACGGATACTTGAGGTGACAATGGAGTATCTAGGTGACATTAGGTTTTTGGTTGATTTGTGTCTTAAGGTGTTATTCTAGTATGAACTCTTTAATAGATCGATCCAAAAGAATAACTTTGAGGTGGTTTCGTACCCTACCATAATCTCTACGTTTGTTCTCCGCTATTAGTGGCTTTGGAGTGACTCTTTGTTGCATGTTGAGGGCTTGTTATATGATCTATCTATATTATTATTGTTGAGAGAACTTGCACTAGTGAAAGTATGAACCCTAGGCCTTGTTTCCTATCATTGCAATACCGTTTATGCTCACTTTTATCATTAGTGACCTTGCTGTTTTTATAATTTCAGATTACAAAAACCTATATCTACCATCCATATTGCACTTGTATCACCATCTCTTCGCCGAACTGGTGCACCTATACAATTTACCATTGTATTGGGTGTGTTGGGGACACAAAAGACTCTTTGCTATTTGGTTGCAGGGTTGTTTGAGAGAGACCATCTTCATCCTACGCCTCCTACGGATTGATAAAGCTTAGGTCATCCACTTGAGGGAAATTTGCTACTGTCCTACAAACCTGTGCACTTGCAGGCCCAACAACGTCTACAAGAAGAAGGTTGTGTAGTAGACATCAAGCTCTTTTCTAGCGCCGTTGCCGGGGAGGTTAGCGCTTGAAGGTATATCTTTAGATCTTGCAGTCGAATCTTTTTTTTCTTGTTTTATCACTAGTTTAGTTTATAAAAGAAAATTACAAAAAAATGGAGTTAAGTTTGTCTCATATGCTTCGTCTTTTTAATATCTTTCGTGAGTATGATGAAAAGGAAAATTGTGCTCAAGTGCTAGAAGAAGAAATCTATAGAATGCTTGGTACTAAATCTTTGAATGATGAGCATGATTGCAATGTTATTAGTATAAACTCCTTGAATATCCATAGTACTAATGATGGTTGCTCTAGTCATGATGAAAATATATCTTATGAGCATGTCAACTTTTGTGGAGTGCATGTTTGCATGAACACACCAAATAGAGAAGATATATATTGCAAGAGGCATAAGCATTTAGAAACTAAATGGTTGCAAGAAAGGCTAAATGTGAGTGCTGAAAATTTGAATTTCCTTTGCCGTACTTGTGAACTTTGCAACGAACGTGGTCATTTACATCTCCTATGCAAATTGTTTCATGATCGAATCGTGTCCAAAAATTGTGATGATTTGATCTCCCTTGCTCATTACAATGAACTTAGTTTGCTTTTGGGTTATGAAGAATTGAAACGTTTACTCAAGGACCTTCCAGAATTTGCCCATAAAAAATTCCTTGATATTGATCTAGAGAAGATTTATTTGTATTGTGCGGAGAATTGCATTGAAAATCCTTATATTGCCAAGTACCTAAAGAAAAGAAAGCAAATGGAAGATGATGAGAATACTAATGAAAGGGAAGAGACTTCTCAATATCCTCCTATTATTTCTTATGATGAATCAGGTAACGAGGAGGAGCTTTCTATTCAACCAATCTCATCAATAAGGAGCTCAAAGAGGAAGGTTGAACCTACACATAATGTGAAGAAGAAAAAGAAAAGAAGAAGCAACAAAGGTAGAAAGGTATCCCTCCCAAATGATGTTGCTCCTACTACTCATTGTGATGATGATAATTGCTTTACTATTGGTGATATCCATATTTTTAACGATGAGAGTGATTATGCTTATGATATGAAAGGGCCCAAGCTTGGGGAAGCTATGTTTGATGAGTATGAAATATTTGAGAATATATTTGTTGAAATTAATGTTTGTCCCAAGCTTGGGGATGCTACGTTTAATGAAGATGATATTTTTAGCATCCCAAGTTTTGATATGCAAAGTTGTTATGATGATAGCATGCCTTGTACCTATGATGATTACATTGATGAAAGTGGGTTTGGAAGAGTGT